GTAGTTTATTAAAAAGACATTCTCATGCTACAAACAGATGTTAAAGAGAAAAAGCAGACGTTAGATGTTAGTGAATAAACATATGCACAAGACAGGATGCTAATGAGCTTTCAAAAAGCAGTACACATACCATCCCAGGTATCTCCACCACCTAGAGAAAAGTGTAAGAGATGAACACAAGTACAGGACAAAAGGCTGTAGATAAAACAGTAACTTACATGGCTAAGAGAAAATTTATATATTAGCACATTTATCAAAGAGCTCAACTAATGCATGTAGTAATCTACATACCGCTGAGCAAACTAGAAATCAGAGAATGAAACTGAGGAAAAGACTAAAGGATGAAAGCATTAGTTTCTGCCGATAGCCGAGTGATCCCCTGCTGCTTTTGCATTAAGTTGTGTAATGAGGTATAAAAACATCCATATCCATTCATTTTGGCTGTGCAAGACAACAGCTAACTAGACAGGCTGAAGAAACAGGAATTCTGAGAATTCTAGTCAACTTCCAAAGTTATGCAGGTAGGGAAAAGCTCCCAAGCCTGAGGTAATTTCTTTCCAGGAGTTTTCCTCACCTTCTGTCTCCATGTCTTGCCCCTTCGGAGCTTCCCCAATATCAATAGTGAACATCACTATCTTGGGAGTCATGGTGGACATTCTGTTGCTAAAGCAAAACTTGTAAGTTCCATCCATGTGGGCAGCAAACGTGTATTTTCCACTGGACTCTCGATCGCCTTTATAAATCCCTTTATTATCAGGCCCTGTAATCTGGATGGGGAGAATAAAATATCACATATTTGATTTAAGATAGTGTTTTCATACGCATCATTTCAGTACTGCACGCATATTCTGGAGTTATCCAGTCAGACTTACCGACAGCATCTGTAAGCTGATCTCTTTAGCCTCCGTCATTTCTTCCCTCCCACAGCCCAAAAGCAGTGCTGCATTTGTCTGCCCAGGAATCTCTCTTTTTTTTTTTTAAAAGAAAAGTCTTGGTAAGAAAAGCTAAAAGCAAGCCTCTCTTACTGGCCAAGATCTGCTTTTCTTCCATACTGAAGATAAAAAGCACTGAAGAACAAGTGAACCACAATCTACCTACAGCTCTGGCTGCCAGCCAAAGTAATAACTGCAGGGAAAACCTTATCTCTGATGTTTGAAGGAAAGCAAAAAGAGTGGAAAAAAATTCATCTGGCACGTCAATACTACTTAAGGCGTACAATTGTGTATTGTTGCAGTTGCCATCTCAGATGGGAGTCAGGGCCAGAGTACTGAGTACTCAGGGTCACTACAATCTGAGGGCTTCCACCCCAAGAGGCCACCAAATCCAGCTGCTGACATTAAAATAGGATTTCACAGCTTCCTGACTTTCATTTCTGTATCAAAGTGGTGCATGGTTTTAAACAATTATAGTCGATCTCAGAGAAAACTCTCACGTGGCTAAGTTATACTAGTCAAACAACCACTTGGTCTTCACCAAGATGAAAGAAATTTTTATTACTCTCTTACTGATTTGATGCCTTATTGAAGACAAAAACTTAACCTACGGCTTTCAGGACGGCAATCAACCTAACTAAACAAGATAACGCTTTTGGACTCAAAAGGAGAGGCATCATTCCCAGAAAAAGCAACACCCTTCTGTAAAGAGCAACCCTGCTCGCTCTCCCCTGCGACAAAAGGTTTAATAAGGCTGTGCCGAATGGAAGAAGGAAGAGAAATTCAAGGCAAGGGTTCTGAAAACCGAGGAAGAGGAAAAGGGCTTTCCCGCCCCAGTGCCTTCTGCTGAAAGAGCAGAAGTGGCGAGCAGTTAGTTACCCTCGAGCAACACAACGGCCAGAAGCGGCACCTCGCCCTCTCCGAAGCGGTCCAAGCCGCCGAGCGGGCCCCGACCTGAGGCGGGGAGGGAGCCCTTCTGCCCAGCAGGCGGGCGGCGGGACGGCCCCAAAACTTCGCGGGCGACTCCAACCCCGCTCGAGTCAATCCTCGCCCCGCACCTCGGCAGGGCGACCCCCTCCCGGCCCCGCCCCGAGACGCCGGCG